GGGGGTACAAACTACAGTAATAAAATTATGTAACTGTTCAAGTGGGGGGTACAAACTACAGTAATAAAATTATATAGTAAAATATGAGAAAAAGTTAACAGTTGAAATTGTGAAGGTAAAGACCATTAATGATAAAATATCAATGAAATATGAAACTGTAAGACCAAGAAAACATTAAGATCACCTTGCACTCGGATAATCTCAGTGAAAGCTCCAGCAATTGACAAAGAAATCTGTAGTGAAAAATACCTTATTAAAAATTCTGATTTTGTATACAACAGACTTGTAATTTTAATAAAAGCTTGTCAAATTTAATGATGATACATTAAGTTCTTTAGTGTTTCACTAAAAAAATGATCAGTTGTGTGTGTTTGTTAACATCCATCACTCAAAGTTGGCTGTCTTGATTATTGTAGTTTTTGGTATTTTAACTGGAAACTGTCCGACAGTGTACGTGGGCTACTTTGTTATAAGATTTTTGCTTGAGAAGGAGAATAAAAACACCATGAAATTGGGAAGATTTCCACTTTTGTATAGACTTTTGGCTTTGAATTTCAAGACATTAACTTTCATAAGACAGGGTATGCAACTAGCATCTAATAAAACCATTAGGGATTTAAAAACAAAAGAAGTATTTTATTATTCCAGCATTGTCCTTCATATAATTTTTGCTTCCTTAACAGGTACCCTAAGCTAGTTATATTAAACGTTATGATACAGTATTGGTCCAGTGCTGTAAATAACGTTTAATATAACTAGCTTAGGGTACCTGTTAAGGAAGCAAAAATTATATGAAGGGCAATGCTGGAATAATAAAATACTTCTTTGTCATACAATATCAAATAAATTCTTAACACTAGAATTAAAGCATAATCACTTCAAAAGGCAATTTTGACAACATCTGTAAAAAACTCCTAAACTTCTTACATGAACTGGCTAACCATTCTCCACTAGGACTGAACTTCACTGATGACACAGCTTTTGTATGTCCAGCTAGTGTAAACTTCAAGGTATAGTTTGGTTTCTGTAAAAGTAAACAGCTAGAACATTATTTGAGTGTAAAAAAAAATGTATTAATATTACATGCAACAAGAAGATATTTTTTTCAGTCCAGCAAGAAGTTACTTTAAATTACATATGAATATAAAAAAACAAATATTTAAAATGTACACACAACAGACCCAAAACAACATAAAGCAAATAACAATAAGATCGAAACCTACTTGTACCTTCTAACTTTGTAATCACCCAAATAATCTGATCTTTGCCACTAGTACAATATATCTGAGTGATACAATGTTTTACTGAATTTGACAGACTTAGAACTATTTCACAACATGATTGCTATTGAATTATATAAAAAACAAACAGTAATTTGGTATAGCTGATAATTTCCACGACATTAATCAATTATTGTATGTGACACAAATTGATGTAATTCAGTCTCATAAGTAATCAATTATATCAATTAGCCCTTTGTCAACAGCACTGGACCAATACTGTATCCTTGAGTGACTCACAAGGTATATTTGAATGTAGAAAACAGACACAGAAAATAAACACACATAAAACAAACTGATAATTGTAAGTTATCTTTACGGAAAAATAAAAGCTTAAAAATCAGTTATATTTAAACTACCTAGTATTAGGAAAAAAAGAAATAACATATATGTGTGTATTATCTAAAATAAACATGAATTAAACAAGAAAATTAAAATCTAAGCTGACTGAAGATCACAAAATTCATGAATTTTGACTTACAGATTTAATTATTCTATTTCAATTTTAGTACGAAAAAACATGGGTAAAGACTTCATAAACCTGTATTGTTTTTGTAGAGTGAGTTGTGAGGTTTTATGTTTGAAATTGCGAAAATTAATTCCACGAATTCCTGTTACACACGAAACGAGTATCTTTAACAGTTCATAACACAAATTCTCACTAATTTTTTTTCTGTGAAGTAAATAATAGCTACTGGCAGACTAAAAAAAAACTCAAACATGATGGACTCAAATTATATGTAGTCACACAAAAAATTGGTTGGCATTATAATGTGGAAATTAACAATGCTTTTCTTGTTTCTACACTGAATGAGCATTGATGGGTGTATTGAAATGATCTGGACTGAGTACCTTTAACAAAGGTTAAATGTTCAGGGTGGACTTGTGAACACATACTGTAAACATGTATAGATATTCGGTCTACAGCAACTGACTTTTAGGATGTTTTGTTATCTAAAATTTATATTGTTTTGCAGATCTCTCCAACTTCAGTTGCTTCTCCTAGAGTATTAAACACATTTCAAGTGCAACTGTTTTATATTATAGGGTTTTTAGAAAAGTACTATTAAAGATTAAAGTTAGGCCTAACCTTCATACGCTGAAACACATTAATTACTAAATTAATAACTTGAATTAAGCAATACAGTTTTCAAAAGGCATTCTGAGGAATGGTCTTAACGTAAGTGATTGGGTAATAAGGAATTGAAACAGAATCTTGGTGTAAATGAAACTTTAAACAACTACAAATATCTGTATATGTGTCAAAAAATAAACGTACCTATTTAACTGTAATTCGCTAGACCTTACAATTAAACTTCTCAAACAGATGTTAAAAATATATGTAACACAAAATTTAATTTACTCTATAATATATCTGTTTCAATCAGCTAAAACTAACTACATAGAAATTAAAAACTAACCAGTAAATAAAACATCTCTTATAGTTTGGCAGAAACAATTATTTTCCAGTTTCATAATTAATTTCAAAATAGTTTTAGTACAATTGAAAGTTTTCGTGTTCAGCAAAATTCAAAGCAAAGGCGAATTGTTTCTTACCAGCTTGTGTCCAGATATTGTCTTCTCAAACTTGCCATCATAAGCGCCCCAAATTTTGATTAGTTTATCGGCAGCTGAAAAACAATATTTATATAATGTTAGTGAAATGTTCGTCATTCTGCTGGATCATAAGCAGAGAATAAATGTGACAGAAACAGTAGTATTCTGAAAATTAAAGCTACTATATTATACTGATAATTAAATTGTTTGTAGGGCCATAAACAACTAATATTTGAAGCTCCACATTGACTCACAATAAATAAGTTTCTACAAAAAAGAAAATATAAAAACAAATTAACAAAATGCTTGGAAAATCAAATTTGTGTTTTCTAGCAATATGCTACTTCTAAATATTCTAAATTCTCAAAGACATTAACATCTATGTAACAGAAACAATAGCCAGACCAGCCAAACAATAACCAAGTCGTACAATTTTGTTTCCTTTTGTCAATTATCATAAGTAATGTGTGAAGGAATTAATCCTAATAAATTTTTCTATGTTTTTTTAAATAAGTAACGATAGATGTAACAGAAGAATTATTTTACTGACAAGTTAAAAACTTATGCGGAAAGCCTAATACTCAAATTATTAAACGATTTGACCAATTATTCAAGCTTATCTTGATAGGTGGAATCGATTTCTCAAACATTTTAGTTGTAGTTTACAACAATGTACAGGACATCCCAACCGAGTATTTAATGATTACACGTATATATTACACAGTTCTTGAAAAGGACTTAAAAAACCGATTAATATTGTATACAAGTCACCGTTATAAGAGGCCTAACTGTATTTCTTTGATTTGCCAGCCCAAGCTGTGCTGATAAGCCTTCGATAGATTAAAGTGCAGTACACAGCAGAGGGTATGGCAAATTAAAGAAAACATTAGGCCTCTACGTCACAGATTCTCCTTTCAATTTCACCAAACGTAAAATTAAACGAAAATGTGTAACACATATATGTAATCATTTAACACCTACAGTACTGACTTCCCAACATGATATACTAATGTGATGACACTTACATTACTGACTTCCCAACATGATATACTGATGTGACAATACTTACAGTACTGACTTCCCATATTTTCAGGGTTTTGTCATCAGAAGCGCTCACTAGCAAACAGCTATCACTTGACCAAGCAACGTCTGATATTCCCTGCGAGTAAGATGTTAAACAAATCATTCAGCAGAATTTAACAACTAATTTTTCGTATTGTACAAAATGTCAACGGCTAATCTTTCCTGTGGAGATGTTAAAGATTCTTGATACCAGTTACCAACAGAAGTATACGTTAACGAAATCATTCAGCAGGATTCAATAACTAATCTTTCTTAGTCTACAAAATGTCAACAGCTAATATTTCCTGTGGAGATGTTAAAAAGTTTCAAACATACAAAGACCTCGACAAGTTTGTTCAGTGGAAGTGAGCAACATTGCTATTAAAAAAAAAACCATGAGAAATAAAATGTAGGGGAATGAAATTACTGGACTAGGTTTGGTTCGGAAAAGTGAAATGATAGTATAACTATCATTTCCAACTACACAGATCTGTTGGAAACTCAATTTATCAGATAAGGCTTAAGGTTAAGACTGTCACGTGATACTTTATTCACAACCATACAGTATCTAAATAGAAACTCTCAAAAAGCAAACGGATAATGTCAATAAACCAAGTACTCGGTCACAAAATTGGAAATTAAGTAGTTGCACACAGAGGTAATATTTTATATTTTGGTGGAATTTTATTATCTGTGTATTACAGAGTGATCACCAATGGGGTTTTTAAGTCCCTTTCAATCATCAATAAAGTAACCTAAAATAATTTAGGTATTTCAATAACATTAGAGCTCTTTCCTAAATCATTATTCCACATAATATATCGGATCACATTAGTATATCATGTT